CCCGCCCCACTTCTCTCCCTGCCTTCACCTTCCTGCTGGTGGACCCTGGTTGCTGCCAGAGCCCTGAAGATGCTTCCACCGCCATGGGATCCACACAGTTTTGCACCCACTAGTCAGTGATGTTCCTACATTGTGCGTCATTGCATGTGGCTTCGTATGCGTCTGAAGAAGGATTATGCTCTAGTATCTTACTTCTGGACTTGAGTGAGATGGGGTGTTTTCCTGATATACAATTACTTCTTGATATAAAACTCTTTCCTACACATCTGAGAGTCACTGGATTTGTTTCTCTAGTCAACCTGGCCTAAGACACTATTCTTTATATGTTTGATCAAAACTACTGTAAGACTACTTCATGAGGACCTGGAGAGGAGGAGATTGGGTCAAAGCAGTTTTGCTGAAAGCCTCCCCTCACAGAATGTACACAGCTTGTAAGGGAAGATGTCATGAAGGGCTATGAAAGTTCATTGCCAGGGAAGTCTGGAATGAATCAAGCTTTTAGATCCTTCTACCTTTAAAATCCTAATATTCTAGAGCTTGACACTGGGGACATATACTTTCAGAGCAGAAAACGTTACCTCAGAATTATGAGTTATGTAGCATTGTTATAATTAACACTGCCTATAGTCGCTAGCATAAACAAAGTCTCCTCAAACAGACAAGTCTTTTTCCATTACGAACAAGCACTGGGGCGGGGGAGCATCTAGAAATGTGGGCGTGGGGGTGTTCTGCTTGTACCGATGGCAAGGAGTTGAGGCAGCAGCTGGCATTTCATGAGCAGGGGCCTGAATACTGAATGTCCTACAGTGCCTGGGGAAGTCTGACACATTGGGCAGCTGTGCTGTTCAAGCCCAAGCGTTCTACTTCTCTGCATTCCCACACCTATCCGGTTGTTTTTTGTTTTGCTCGGAACAGCCATCCTAGTGGAAGTGAAGCAGTATCTCATCGTGGTTTAGATTTGCATTCCCCTAACAACTAAATGATATTGAGCATCTTTTCACATGGTTATTGGCCATCTCAATATCTTTTTTGGAGGCTCATCTATGAGTCCTTTGAGATAAAATTGCCCATTGGAAAAAAAATTTTAATTGACCATTGGAGATGGGAATGTAAAAATGGCCCAGTCGCTGTGGAAAACTGCTTGGCAATTCCCCAGAGTTAAACACAGAATTGCCATACGATCCAGTAATTTCACCCTAAGAGACATGAAAACAGGGACCCCAAGAGATACTGGAGAGCTCTGAAAAGTCTGTGACAAAATGGGATGGAATTTTTCTACGAACTTTGTGCAGCCCTTATATACATAAACCAATGTTCACTGTAACATTATTCACAATAGCCAAACGGTGGCAAAAACCCCAGTCAGTACCCATCAGCAGAGGAATGGATAAATAAACTGTGGTACATAATACTATGAGATAATCAGCCATTGACAGAAATGAAATGCCGATACATGGTACCATAGAGATGAATCTTGAAAATAGTAATGCTGAGTGAAATCAGTGAGACACAAAAGTTGAATATTACACTGTCCCACTTCCTGCTATGTTGGATATCAATCTAGAATATGCCAATTTTTAGAGACCAAAATGTATTAGTGATTACCAGGGGCTAGGAAAGGGTCTAGCAGGGGTTACTGCTACAGGGATATTAAGTTTCTATTTGGGGTGATGTAAAACTATGTGTGTGTCTTCATGCACACACCTACTGAATATAATTCATGTCACTAAATTGTTCAACTAAAGATGGCTAAAACAGGCAACATTTTAGAATCATCTTTGTTTAGGATAGCTTGTCTAGAAAATGTATAAAAGTGATAAAGGCTATATGAGAGATGTATAGCTGGTTAGGCAAACAGATATCTGGGGGTTAGAAGTTTGGATGGCTACCTTCTTAGCCCGTGTGATTATGGTGGTTTTGTTGATGGGCAGATTCTGAGAGAGAGACAACTGAGAGGCGGAGACTGTGTTCCCAGACACAAAGCAGAGGCTGACACCTCATGGGCCCACAGCTACTTCCATGCCGACTTCTAATGTTGAACAGCCAAGACAGACCCAGGCATCAGCCCCCATTACCTGTTCCAGCTCATAGGCCTTGGCCTTGTCCTCGTCCCGGTCGGCATTCTTGCGGTAGGCCATTCCCAGGCCCCACACGGCCAGGATACTGTAGATGTTGTCCCGCACCCAGGCGTCCTTCTGTTCCTGGCTGGCTGAGAGCAGTCCCGTGACAGGATTCTATCCAAGAAGGACATGTGAGGACTTGTTAGCCCAATTCCCACAGGCCCTGGGCAGTGAATGCTTGCCTTGGGGGAAGGGTGAGAGGCGGGGGAGGGTGGGGTTGGGAAAGGACTAAGGAAATTGGGGTTCCAGTCCTTGCTCTGCCGCAAAGAGTGTGATCTTGGGCAAGAAGTCGCATTGCTTTTCTAGGACTCCGTTTCCTTACCTGTAGAGCAAGACTACTGCACTTGAAAATCTCTAAGGAACCATCTACTCTCATGATCTCACTCTTTCGCTCCAGACGAGGATCACACTGTTGCAGGTGACAGAAAAGCAGCAGCAGCCGAGAGAAAAAGGCTGCAAGGTGCTTATGCCAGCTGTCTGCATCCAGGGCTTTAGATCTTCTTGGGCCTCACCGTACCACTTGGGCTTGTGGGCCAGGGAGGCATTTACCTAATCCAGGCTTTAGCTGCCCACCTGTACACTAGATACTTTAAATGCCTAAAACTCAGGTGCTGAGCAAGAGGACATCTGGGAGTCCTACTGACCTATGATGTCACCTGTACTTACTTCAAATGACCGCTGAGTCACAAGAAAGCCAGGCCTGCACTCAAAAAACGTGGACACGGATCTTCACAGATTATTCATAACAGCCAAAATGTGGAAGTTACCCAATTGCCCATCAACTGATGAACAGATAAACAAACTGGGCTATACCCACACAATGGGATACTGTTTACCCACACAAAGGGCTGAAGTCCTGATACATGCTACAGCATGGATGAATCCTGAAAACGTTCTACTGAGTGAAAGAAGTCAAACATACATGCGATCCCACTAGCACGCAAGCTCCAGAATAGGCAAATGCACAGCAACACAGAGTGAATTGGTGGCTGGGGGGAGGGGAGAATAGGGGGCAGCCCCTAGGGGCACAGAAAATCCTTTGGGGATGATAGAAAAGTTCGGGAGCAAAGTAAAGGTGTGGGTGCATTACACTGTGAATGGACCAAAAGCCGCTGAATCATACACTTTGAATAGATGAGTTGTGTGGTGTGTGAAGTCTACATCAATAAACCTGTTATCTAAAATAAGCCAGTCCTAATAAAAATGGAGAAGTTAGGGAAAGTGACACATAAACCCACACCTGAGGAATTTTCCTTAAAAATGTGCAAAGAAATGTGCATCTGATAAAATATACTATAACCATCTCAACCTTGCCAGCTTAAGCAATATTACTTAAATATTTATAGGAGGATTTGTGAGCAATTTCTGTTGGAGGCTTTCACAGTGTCGATACCAAGGTTATTAGGTTAAGCAACAACAACAAAACTGGCATAGCTTTAAATGGCCCAATCTAAGGGAACTGTCTGAGGAGCTCTGGTGACGTAATGATTATGAGATGGGCTTCAATCCGCAAGGTCCAAAGTTCAAAACCATCAGCTGCTTAGAGGGAAAAAGATGGGACTTTCTACTCCTGTAACCAGTTAGTCTCAGAAACTCAGAGGTGCAATTCTATCCTGTTGAGTCTCGGTGGCAGTGATCACATACTTGAGTTTCTCTGTTAACAAATTTCTGCACTCTACAGGAAGAACTGAAACTCTACACGTCAACCACCACAAATCAATACTATTAATGTGAATCGTAACTGAAGTCTAGGAATTCACAGGGTGAAGGTACAAGTCATCTACCAATAGTGGACTATAGAGGCTCTTTATTAAGACCACTATTCCTATTCCCTAGCAACAGCCAGGATACACTCCTTTATCTGCCCTGAGGCCTGTTGGGTCAACCCAAACCCAGGATAAAGAAATCACAAGGAGACCCCCCTCCAGGTGTGCTTGAGTTCACAGAGACAACAGCCTTCCGGTGACACAGCAGTGACGGCTTACACAGTCTATGTGGTTTGGATTACAAAATGTCACTGTCACATAAACTGGAAGACATCTCTTTTCTCCTTTAGTTTGGGCTCAACTGCTAATGTGCATGAGTTTTTCCCCACCCAAAGCTAGATTGTGCCCTGAACCTCCTTCCACGATAGGGGAGCAGTAAGGTGTTCTCTCTGACAGCTGCCCAGGGGGAGGGGGAGTGTTACCTATCATCCTCATCAAGAAGCCCTTAAGAAGCAAGGCAGACAGGCACAATATTTTTTTATTGAGAAGGGGGGAAACCAGGAGAGCTACTCCAAGCAGAGATGAGAAATGAGCAAATTATTGTTGCTGGGCTCAGAATTCTCTAGTGCAGTGGTTCTCAACCATTCTAATACCGTGACACTTTAATACAGCTCCTCATGTTGTGGTGACCCCCAATCATAAAACTGTTTTCATTATTACTTCATAACTATCATTTTGCTATTGTTATGAATTGGGCGACTCCTGTGAAAGGGCAGTTAGACCCCAAAAGGGGTTGCGACCTGCAGGTTGAGAACCACTGCTCTAGTGCCTACCAGACAGTCTAAATCCCCTAGGTTGTTATATGAGACCCATTGTGGGCTGGCTCTTCCTCCCACATGCAACCTCATCAACTGCCTTTCTCTCTTAGGTGGGCTTGGGGGCAGAAAACCCCAAGTAACTAAGGGTAGTCTCCTGTGCCTCCAGGCCTGGGACCCACTCCCTCCTCTGTGAAGCCTTCCTCAGTGCCCAGGGCAGTCAGCTTGAGCTACTCCTTTTCCTGTGCTAAAAAGAGCCAGAGGTCAGAGTCTCTGGGTTCATCACCACACCTAGTCCTTTCTCCTTTGGGAAAGAATCACCCAGTGCCTAGCACTGCCTTGCTCACTTCCTAGAGAGGAAAAGTACAGTACCATTATGCATATGAAATACCTAAGAGAGGCTAGGATAAATGTCTAAAATACAGGACTCCGAAGCACCATGGTGGAAAAGCAAAGAGTAGGAGATGAAAAATTCTGCTATGAAAAATGGCACAAATTGGCCAGATTTATTTGTTGTACTAGAATTTTTGTTATAGCAACTATTATTCAAAATATTAAGGGGACCCCAGGGGAGGGTAATGGCCATTTTAAAATGGGAATTATGCTAGCATTTGTCTAAAAGGATTGCACCTGTCACCAAGGTGACTGGTTGGGTAAGACTGTTTATTCCTGTGACTGGATAGCTGGTGTACAATTTGATAGGTTAACCATTCAGAGAATGGTCTTGTAAATGGAAACTTTCATGTGCAGCAGCCTCATTCTTTACCTGAGGGGATCACAGGTGGGCCATTCTCCCTTTCAAATGAAGTCTTCTTCTAAATCACTGCTTGACAGTTTGCCCCCTCCCTCTGGGTTCACAAATAACTACAGGCTGCCAGCTGTCCACTGGCTTCCAGGAAAAAGACCTGGACCTGGGCGGGAGCCAAGCATTCCAGGCCTCCACTTCATTGCAGCTCTGCCCCAGACTGCAAGGCTTACCTTACAGCCTCTGCAACTCACAGAAACCCACTGGGTCCCTTCGCTGGCATCAAGTGTGCTTCCACCTTTACCGCTCTCCTAACCTGTTGCGGAGGGGTTGATTCAGACTCATAGCAACCCTAAATAACACAGTAGAGCTCCCTCATCTCATTGGGTTTCCAAGGTCAAAGTGTTTACAGAAGCAGACTGCCACATCTTTCTTCCATGGAGCAGCTGGTGGGTTCAAACTGGCCACCTTTAATGTATCAGCTGACCACTTAATGACTGTGCCACCAGGGTTCCCTACTACTCTCCTTCAAACCAAACACTTATGCCATGTGTTGAATGCCACTCATGGTGACACTTTAGGGCAGGGGAAAACTGGCCCTGTGGGTTTCTGAGACTGTGACTCTTTATGGGAGTAGAAAGCCTTTATCTTTGTCCCACAGAGGGCTGCTGGTTAGCAGCTGATGCATAACCACTATGACACCAGGGCTTCTGACCATTGTTCTAAGAGACTGTGATTCTTTGCCTCTCCCAACCATTCCTATGGTAAGGTAGCAGGATCACTGACCTGTTAGACCTTGGCCTGGCATTGTGGAAACTTACAGAATATGTTCAAAGTCAGTGGGGCTGGTAGGGTCTTTCTGGCCAACATGGGAAGTCCAGTCCTCGGTCCTCAGGACTTACCTGGGGCTGTACTATATAACTTTAGTCTGAACAGGAGAACTGTAGAAGTCTCTGAGAAACTGTCAATGTTAAGGCTGACTTACAGTCCACTGCATTGGACTGGGTGCACTGAACCATCCCACGGGGCTCTGCATATGGCCTCTTCAGCTGGAGTCTCCAGGTATCTGCTGGTGGGCTTTGGAGGTGGGGGTTCTGTGAGGCACTGGGAACTTTTTTAGTGTGCCTTTTTCTCAGAACATGAAGCCCTGGTTGTGTAGTGGTTAAGCATTGGTCTGTGATCTGCATGGCTGGCAGTTCAAAACCAGCAGGGTGTCGCTATGAATTAGCACTGAATCAATGGTAGTGAGTCTGAGAATTTTTCTTTTTTCTCAGGGCAGGGTAAGGCATTCAGCTTTCAAATCATACATGGGTAACAAATGCGTTTGAGGAAGAACCACTTCTCTGAATGCATTTTATGGAACATTGCGTTGTCCTATCTGTTGTGAGAACGATGGGATAGTTACTTCCCTCATTGATAGTGTGACATTTAAATATAAGTGACAGGACTTCCGGAAATCGGGAGAACATTTAAAGAAATCATCCTTTAAGAATGTCACTACTAAAACACACAGAGGAAGAAGCAGGCAATGTTACTGGATACTGTACTCTGGGCTATCCAAAGTGTGTCTCTCCACTCCTCCAGCTTGAACCCATTAAGACCGAGGGCTGCCAGCTCTTCAGAAGGGTAGCCTGGACAAAACGTCCCTTGGGCTCTCTGGACTGGAGTTCTTTAACTGTGAAAAAGCCTAGATGAGCGGACTGCAGGGGCAGTGCATTATTTACTGTGAGTCTTCTAGTCAAAATCTCTAACTCCCACCAAACCACCTTTTCCTGAGTCTGGTAAGAAAAAGGGGTGAGGAGATACTGATAGGATACACCTGTGAGTAATTGAGACCCAGATTCCCAA